ACAGCGCTCGGCCATCAGCCCGGCTGCACTTGCCACAGGCTGCCATTGGGGGGATCAATCGGGGGGCTGTCAGGATCCAGGAGGCCCTGCAGGAGAGCTTCCACCTGGAGAAGACCACAGAGCCACCCCAGTACTCCCTATTGGGGGCTCGCGCCCCATTCCTCCCTCACCTCCTTCCACTTACCCATCCCTAGCCCCCCTTCCTGATGTACAAAATAAAGGACACGTGTGGTCAAAAATAGAAACTCTCTTTATTGAACAAAACTGGGGAGAGAGGATTAATCTCTGGGGAGACTGGGAAAAGGAGGTGGGAGAGGGGAAGAGAGAGGGTGGAAGAGAGAAGGAGGAAACCGGGGAGGAGGGAGTTGGAAGGGGGAAACCAGGGGAAGAAGGAGGAGGGGAAGTATAAAACTATGGTACGCCATATCTTCAGGACTGTGTGCAGATGTGGTTTCTTCACCTCAAAAAAGATATTTTGGCCTTTGAAAGGGTTCAGAAAAGGACAACTAAAATGATTAGGGGTTTGGAACAGGTCCCATATGAAGAGAGGCTAAAGAGACTGGGACTATTCAGCTTAGAAAATAGGAGACTGAGGGGGGATATGATAGAGGTCTACAAAATCATGAGTGGTATGGAGAGGGTGAACAAAGAAAAGTTCATCATTAGTTCCCATAATAGAAGGACTAGAGGACACCAAATGAATTCAATGGGCAGCAGGTTTAAAACTAATAAGCGAAAGTTCTTCTTCACACAGCACATAGTCAACCTGTGGAACTCCTTGCCACAGGAGGCTGTGAAGGCTAGAACTATAACAGAGTTTAATAAGAAGGTAGATAAAATCATGTAGGTTGGGTCCATGGAGTGCTATTATCCAGGGGGTAAGAACGGTGTCCCTGGGCCCTGTTTGTGGAAGGCTGGAGATGGATGGCATGAGACAAATTGCTTGGTCATTGTCTTTGGTTCATCCTCTTCGGCGTACCTGGTGTTGGCTGCTGTCGAGAGACAGGATA